AAACATAAATAAAGATCAATCTAACATAAATAACTAAAAGGTTAATAATAGGTTTGATAAAATTGGATTAAATTTAAAATTTATTGAATTGGATTTAAGTTTGAAGGTTGAATTAAATTTAAAATAAAATTAATTTACATATTTTTTTAATTTTTTGCAAGGATGGAGATCCCCACGACCCCCGCGGGACAAGGAAAATTTCTCGTAAATTTTCACGGGAAGAAAATACTCCCCGTTCTCATCCCACAAGAAAGAATATTCCTCCCCACTTCGTCTCGTGACCTTGTGGAGATCGGGACAAATTACCATCCCTAGAGACAATAATGCAAACAAAGGGCACGCAATTGCACAAATTCGAAGGTAAGGCTCTCGTAAGTACCCAGTTCTTGCTTCCTTTCCTAATTGCTATCACACGTAATATTGGTACTGTTGAGCCATGATTTTCTAATTGATTGAAAGTCGGTTTCTTTCTTTCTTCTTTCCTTCTATCATGAAACGGTACTATACATACGTGACTTTTGTTTTTACCTTGCTTTTCCTTTTAGATTTTATCTTGCTTTTTGTACTTGGACACAACTAGTCAGCTAATTAATATTCACAGTCTCTAGTCTATACATATTTTGTTGTCAATAAAGACGTGGTTATTGGAACAAACCGTGAAAGATGATCACTAATAATCAATGAATGTCACACGTGAACATTAAAAAAAAGGGACAAAGGAATGTTTGTTTTACCATTTTGTAAATAGTTATTAATTATTAATTTTAATTAAATGAATTATATATGTTTAATTATAAATAATAATTATTAATTATTAATTATTAATTATCAAGTATATATAAACTAAGTAATACAAACATCCTGAAAAGCTATTTGGAAAGAAGTTTGTGCTCTTGTGTCATAGTAAAGTCCTGACTGACCCTACAAAGTTTAAAGACCTTCGACTGTGTGTTTATAGTATTTTATAGTGCTTGAAATAGCGGTATTATCGCAACACTCTTCAAATACGTGCTAATTCTTCCTTAAGACACTATAAGCAGCTGCTTTGTTAGAACTTAGAGGTGATTATGTCTTTCGTTAAATCTAACCATGCAGGCCTTGAGATTCATCTCTGTTATGGATTATATATTGCCAACATAATTGATTAATAAAGGTTGAGTACCTATCTACTAAACATTAATTTCTTCAGCCTCCTGTGTTGCCATTCATCACAACATATATACCTCTCATTGATCTTGATACTTCTATATGATTGAATTTAAGCTTTTTTACTTGAAATAAGTTTTGCTGGTTTTCAGCTCAACTCATCATGCTTAGCGTCAGGAATTCAATCCTGAGGCATATGAGATTGAGGCAATCTATGGAACACCAACATGTTCAACAAAATGTCATATCTGAGGAGTCATTTTTATTAATTTAATTTAATTTAATTTAATTAATATTTTAAAAATAATATTTTATAATTTTTAATTCTACGGGACAGAGACAAGACAAAACAAGCATGCATATAATTCCATTACCTATTTTCAAAGAAAAAAAAAAAAGCATGCATATAATTCAACGTACGGAGCGCAGTAAACTTGGAAGATGATGAAGCAGACGATGACATGTTGACATGATTGATTTGAGGATCCCACGTTGACGAGGACCGTCCCGACGGGATTTAGTGATGGAAAGGGGATAGTTGGCCCCCTAAACTTTGGGATAATATTAAACATGGTACATTAATTTTTGTTTTCTACAAAATTTTATTTTTAAAATTTTAAAATATTGGGACAATTTCAAATATAAAGAAGGTATTTAGGAGCCAAGTAAATGCATCGTGTCATTCTTTGTGACTAATTCTTAAGACATAATAATTTTATTCAGTAAGAAAAATATTAAAAAATAATCCAGATTTAATTATATTGGTATAGCACATATAAATTTTTATATTAGTTATTTATAATTTTTTTGTACAATTTATATTATATTTAAAATCAACAGTTAAATTTATTTTATTTATGTAAATCATATGTTTCGAA